AGTGAAGCGGATACTAATTGAAGAACTTGACGGGTAGTTGCGATAGCCACGAATCTTGGTTTTGCCCCCTGGTGGGGTGAGGTCAGGGGTGTTCGCTGCTGAAAATTCGATACTGGGACGAAATAAGTGTCCAGTGCTCACAGGTTTTCAATGATTCTTCAAGTGTTGTCAGCTCATGATCAGTACTTTCTTGCTGTACTGAAATATTTTTGTTGAGATCGATGGTGATTATTAATACAACAAAAAAGGAGACTTATAAAGTAATGCGAAGACATTATGAATATGAGTTTTAGTTAAAAAAGGAATACGAGGGGACAAAACAGCTGGTGTAAATTGTTATCTGACATATCAAGTGATCCTCTTCAAATGGCCCATCTGTTCATTATCTACTCACAAGTAGTATCAACATGAATTGCGATAAAAGTAGGTGTAGAAGGAAATAATTGAATATTACAATCAGTCTATACGTCTGTAAATTAACTGAAATATCTCATGACATGATTCTTGTTCATATTCTATTTACACCTTATTTCAGTTACATCGACATATATAAACTTGTGATACCATATTCAGTGTACATAGTACTTCAATACCAAAATTATGTTTACATATTTCTGCGTCTATCTAGATTGATGAATTGAAAAAAATTGAGAAGAGTGGAGAGGTAAGTAGTAGGCGATGAAACTAAGTGACTGATTTTAGCTAAAGCTGACTTCTTCCATCTTTCTCACTTTCATACTTCTCTTTTTGGATAATCACGAAGAGTGACATTCAAAATAATGCCACTTGATCATATGCTTGGTGTATTCGTTGATATGACTGAAGCGGTGTCAACCAGTCTAAGACATGACATATGTCTAGAAAGCTTAAGAACCAGACAAATAATCTGTACTATAAAAATTACTTTCTTGGTGATATTCATCATAGACAGGCATTAGTCGGAGAACCGCTGAAAGCTGCAGAGTACAGGACAGCTGTTTCATCCTAGAGTGGTAGTCCTCAAAAACGTTCAATAAATATCCCGCGATAAACCGATCCTAGGTACTTCAGTTTTTGAGGCAGGTGCATTACTGTTTAGCCTATGAATCCAATAATGTTTCCACTAAAACTAATCCACACTGTAAATATCACCTTGAAACCCTGACATTTATCCACGAGACCAATGAATCATCAAAACCAGTTTATTTACCTATACTTGTTTGTTTCACTGCATAGCAGTTATTAGCTATAGTTTGTATCCAAGGATGAATGAAACACGGCTGTTGGATTTCATCGCTGGACATAATCAAACAAACAAAATCAGAAAAAGGCTACAAGTGAAGTTGAGGCTCCGTACAAAGACTTCAATGTCATGAGAGATTGACCAATGCTTCAAGTTAAATATCGAGGTGAAAATTTCCATGAGTCACACAGAATGAATAAATGTTGATGTAAAGAGGTTTCTTTTGCATGTGAATCTTAGATTGGAGAACCACTAATAACCTGAGTGCATTGGATAACTGTTTCTTAATTAGTACACTTCAATAACGCTGTGAGAGACCGAATCCGAAATCTTCGAATCTTTCAGAGACCACATTGTCGTTAAACCACTGGGTATGAATTCAAGAATCGACGTATTTCAACTCTTGTCAATTTTTGTCACAGCACAACCATCCTTAAATGCTATCGGTGTGGATTTTTTTCACAGTCAACTAGTTTGACCCATGGGGTCGTGAATTTTCATTAGAATTTCAGGAAATCTCATCTCCGGGCAGTTCATCAATGAGTACTGCAAGTAAATCAATTTAGTGGATGTTTAAGACAAAATTTCATACGTATTTTGATCATTAGACAATCACACCTGAGTGCGGTTTCGATTAAAATACATTAGTACAGCGTAATTACAAGAAAACGTTATCTGTATTGAGGACAGATTCCTGCCGCTGGTTTCTACGTGTTTCATTCAACTCATTTTTACACATTTCTATAGAGATTTAGCATGGAGCTTGAGCGTCCTTGACGAATATTTGTCCTGTGCTTATATATCTGTCTAATTAGCTTGTTCTTGATGTCAACAAACAAATACTTTATTGTATACAAACAGAAGAATGGGCTGATCAGTCACTGAAGAACCACCATTTTCATGAAGCATAGTACAATACACTGATCATATTCTACCGACCATTTGGTAACGTGGTCAACAAACTAGGAAACACATCTTCGCAGATGCTTCATACTTATGTTAAGTAGTTGAAGGTATTCTATAGAAAGCCATAGACTTGCTGGTTGACACTTATCAGTAAGATGGATTCACGACCTTGACTCGAGGAGCTCGGTAGCAACATATATCACTTCAAGACTAGGTGACGCGATGCCGAATCACGCACAGGACATCAATCTTGTCAAATCTGAAAGTTCACCTTAGTGACGAATGCCAGCAAACTGCAAACCTAGCTCTAGGGCTTGCTTCTGATTGGTGCCAAACATGTTGTAGTAATATAAAAACATTTTAGTTCAGTAAGAGTGACGTAGTCTCAAATATAACACAGTTATTGTGATCAGGTGATTTGGTTGGTTTCTGTCCATTGGCCAAATGTTTTCTTACCAAAAACCAACTCATAGTCATTTTTCATTCTTTTCAATACGTAGGTTACAACTTGACACTTCCTGGTGATGTGCTTTGAGATGAATTTCTTGAATTGTTGGGTCAAGCAAGTCGATTGTGGAGAAAAATACACACCGATGGCATTAGATGATGGCCACGCTGAGACAAAAATTCACAGGAACCGAAGAAAGTAGATGACTGAATTCTGACCTAGTTGCTTTGGGTTGACGTGCTCTATGTGAGAACTGAAGGTTTTTGGTTTGATTTCTTATAGGATCATAGGAGTCCGTTGTTGGACAGTCACCGATCAGGACGAAAGAACTGTCCAGTGCTTCCAAGTTATCAGTGGTTCATAAAATGACGTCAGCATATTATGAAAACCTCGTAGATATTATTATTCTTTTATTCTGTGTGACATGGTAATTTTTACTTAGATGTTTAACTTGATAGAGTTGGTCAATCTCTCTTGACATTAAACTCTTTAAACAGAGCCTCAATTTCACTGGAGTCTTTTTCTGATGTTGTTTGTTTGGTGAGGGCTAGCAATGAAACTGAACAGTAGCGTTTCCTTGTTTGTTTGTATGTAGATGGACTTCAATCACTGTTATCCAGTGAAGCGAACAAATATGCATAAGCAAACTGTTCCAAGAGGAATCAGTAGTCATATGTATAAATGTCTAGCTTACTGTGCAGCGACTTCAGGAGGAACACCATCATTCTCCGAGATGTTTTTATATTCAGTATACAAGTCTGAAACAGAACGAAATGCTCATCCATCATATCCTTCTGTTCTCCAAAAATAAACCTAGAAAGCTATTAATCCTCACCCTGTAGCATTCAGTTAAGTGAGTAACCATTCTTTAGCTTGTCAAGGGTTATCTGCAGTTTACGTAACTATGTGCATTCCTAAAGTCTATTTAGTGGGGTTTATGAAGAGCGCTGTAATTTAGTCAAAGTCCTGGACAAAAGGCATTTCAGATATAAAATACTAAGTGCTTAGGGTGTTAGTAGTACGTATAGGAATTAAAGGAAAACATGGCTGCATCACGATTAGAGTGAAATCGAAAATTGATCTGGTGAATAGAATGTTTCAGTTCAAAATTTAGTTAAATCATTGTTTATTTGATCTTGTTTTCCACTTTTAAAGTAACTTAGTCTTGTCCTACCTGAACGGTCCTCGAAGTTAAAAAAGTAACTACTTGATGTGTGAAAAGTTTCGTCACTTAAAGTAGATTAGATACTTGTAATGGACAAAGTCCTACCGTCTATCGGAAGACAAAGTTAGACTGAGAAAAATCTAAGGGTATTCATGATGTGAACCCACGAAGGTTTATTTAGTCAACACGAAATACAGGTGTCTCAATTGAACTCTGCAAAACAGCTGAACTTCGTAGTTCTAGACTAAGGGACATACTTCAAAGCTGATCTAGCTGGCATGAATGTAGTTATGCCTCATCTTCATCTAAATCATTAAAACAAACAATTCGTTTTCCTTCTTCTTCGCATCTTATGTTTCTTAAATACTATTGTCAATATCGGCTGCAGTTTTCGACCGTTTTGGTCAACTGCTACTTTTATATGTTGATGTGAGTAGGGTGAACTTGAATTTTAAAGAGTTTAAGTTAGGTCGAATGTTGGTTGCACATTTATGCTGTCTGCTTGTCTACGTGACTCGTAAATGTAAATTGCAATGATTGATAACAGAAAAAGGTTGAATGGGATTATCTAATCGCTAAACCTTCAAAGGAATAACATAATAGGATTGTCAACCATGGTTTCGTTCAACTTCAGTTATCCATAGATAAGACATGAATATTTCGGTCATCAAACGTGTGAGCTGCTTTGAGCGTCACTCTTCCTTTCATTTAAGGCGAAACTTTTGTCTGATGTTTGTCTATAACTTTAAAATAACTTATTATTGCTGTTTTCACTGCCGTTGCCAGCTTTTATTTCCTACTGCTGTGGAGCCTGAACATTCATTAGTTGTTAACTCTTTTAGCAAAAATTTGAATTTGATTTTGTAAAGTCATTTAGAAATGTATGTATTCAGCAACGCTTTAGACTGTTTTGACTGTGGTGGGACAGTGAACGCTCTCTACCAACGGTCCGTCATTTCTTCTTGTCTTTGCTTATCGGTGGTAATGTCGTTGTGGTTGTTGAAGCTCTGGTTAGCGTTTAGGGTCAGTTCGTTTGCACGTTAGGTCTGCATCGCTTGCATACTGTTACGTTGCACTACCGGTTATAGTAATTTTGCTTAAAAATGACTTTTTTGCTTGTAATAACGTCACATATTTTAAATAAGGTGGTTACGTGTTACCTTCCCAGAAGACTTGCTTCTGGATTACTTCGACAGACTAAATAATGAAATGTATAGTATAAATAACATTACATAAATACTGATTCACATAAGACGTACCGTAAACTATTGATAAAAGATGATTCGGGTCCATGTACATCATCTGTTTCAACGCTCTTGTGCTGATTATTGAATAGGTTTTGAAATTCTTGGTCATGTTGTATATAACCACCACAGAAGCTGATTGTTTATCACTGATTCCTATTGATGACGAATGTGTTGGTTGAAACTCACTATATGATAGGCTTTCTAAGCGTTTTACAAAGCGTATTTGTATACGTTGTCCATAACCACCTTGAAGCCTCCATATACAACTGCTGAATTTATTGTGGACACCCGATTCAAATGACTTTTGTCCAATAATAAAATCACGAGGCATTTGGATGTAACCATTTGAATCTTTTCCGTTACTGGTGATTGTAAACTGACATTGATCTATGAAGGGTAGGATATTGGAGATACTAAAAGGTATTCAGTGATCAGAGAATGATAATAAACCTTATTTGTTCATCTTGACGAATGACATGACTTGTAGAAACACAGAAACTTGTTCCATGTTCCATCTTAAGGTGAACGGTTACAAGGTGTTTTGCTTAAGCAGATTTCATCATGCTGAGTATTTAAGCTTTGGCTACATTGATGTTTACCAAGTTGAATAGCTAACTCGCAGGTATTACTGATGGATAATAGCTAGCAGTGGAATTCAGAAAGCGTGTTTCGTCCTATTTAGGGCTCGTCAACTAGATTTACCTGCCTCCCAGTGAATGATCTTATCCCAGGTAAGAATTGAACCTTGGATCAGTCACTTCAAATGCCAAGATGTTATCCACACTATGTTTTAAGTAAATCCCGAAAACTTCAGTGGGTGTTGAGCAGCTTCAAGCATATTAGCGGTTGCATTACACTCGGCAGAAATGGAATACGAAGTTGGTGAAAACAAGGTTCTACAATAGGATTTTGAACCATAGTAAGATAGATTTTCTGTTGGGGCCTTGTGTAAATGGGCAAATCCAAATAGTATGAACAGAAGAGATGAAGTTGCCTGCCTCCTGGAAACTACTAATTACCAAACAAAGTGGATTACTCTTATGGTTACGTCGATCATGAGTCTCATCGTGAGTGACTCTAAAGGTAACTCTAGCAACCAAAGAATTAGTTAGTCAGATTTCTCTGAGTCGTCTACACGGGTAGATTTTTTCAAGAAATAAAGAGACTCAACTTATTCAGTGGGTGATAGGGTGACATTCAAACTCATCTCTCATCTTCATTTTCTTTACACCAACAAGGTTCATTTTATGCACAGTTTTTATTATCACATCTATTCGTCAACTCAGACTTATTGTGATAAACTAAGGAAAAGTTTGGTAATATCACTTCATTTTTGCACACCGACAAAAGTAATATACAAACCCATATCATATGCCTAACGGTATATGTACATACAATTACGTAATGATTATGGTGTCATTTGTGACATTTTTTCTCCATTTCAGGATTCAGAAGGATATGAATAGTACGACACAAATATTGTATACAATTTCAGGCTGGATAATCAGTAGTCAGCTTTTGAAAACAACGACTATGCAAATAAGATTCGACAAGTTGACCAAGTTACAGTTTTGACTTCATTTATATGTCCGTTATCGGGAAGAAGTTTAAGTGCCAACAGCACTCATTGGGAGGTAAGCTTATCCAGCTGACGAGTTGTAAACAGAATGAAACGTATTTCCTGCCCATTACTATTACCGAACAGTAAGGTACTGACAGTATTGGCGTCTCCACAGAGAACCAGATATGTCAATAGTGACCGATGAATTCGATCAAATCAGTAACGAGAAATTACCTGTTGGAACATCATATATACATCTTCGATACTTTGAATTCTAATTATTTCTCTGAAGAAGGCTGAAAAGGAATGCCCTCAAAAAACGTTAACGCGTTAAGATGCATACATCATAGAACCTACACTTAATGTCAATTTTTCACTTGGCAGCCAAAATTTTTGATTCTATTCAGTTAAGTCTCCATCATAGTTCATATAAACTACAATACATGAATGGTTGAAGAGTTTCATCAGCGATATACATTTTGTCCTACCTGAAACTGACACCAAATTGAGAACCCACTTACCATTTACAGTAGATCATCTCCAAGATTATAGGTTACATTACAAAATAATCAACAGAATTCAGTCGGCAGTTAGTACTAGACAATATGAAATTGGTGATGCTTCAGTGACCAACTAATATTTCTTATCCAGTCTTATAGGAGGTCAGTGGCAGTCCAAGTAGTTCAGCAGTAAGATCTGTGACATCGTCAGTGGGTAGCACGAATTAGAATCTTAGAGGGGATATCAGTCGTCAGAAGAGTGTTAACAAACTTGCAACATATATGACGAAGGACTTCTTACCAATCGTCTTTAACCAACTAACACAGTGGTTCAAATCTTAACAATATAAACCAGTCATCTTGTATTTTATAGGTTTGATTCCAGTTTTGGTTAAGTTTGGAAAATCATCAAAATATTAACAACAGAAAATGGAACAGCATCCGGTATGTCAACAAAAGCTGAGATAAATCAAACAAAAAAGCGGATTCGCATGCTTCAGTCAACCACAGAGTTAACGCCTGACTGATCTTCGATTTTTATAGAACAAAAAAGAAAGTCACAGCTATAAAGCGAGGGAGTGAGTACGACATGCAATTTTGAGGTATTCACATAGAAAGATCGACCACAGAGTTTATTCGTCTGCTGAAATATGATAGAAAAGGTAGTAAGTACAACGAGATAATTGTCGCATTCTTTGCTTCTTTTTTGTTTAGAAAACCAACAACAATTTCAACCTAAAGTTTTTACAGTCTCTACAGAAAACCAATCAGATGTATTCTACACACAGGAAAAGAGTTGTGTCGTTATTGGGTTTAACGCGACTATACTATGTTTTGTATACAAGTAAGTGTATGCTATATCTTTCCAAATGAGTTCACAGTCTCACTGCAAAGAAAGAAAAAACATTTTGCCAGTGAGAATACCTTAATTAACTTCGTTGTTCAATGACTAGAAAGACGGTTGTTTGATTCTAAGTGATTGTGCATTGTTTTTGCTTCATTACTTACTGTGACTGATGTTCCCCAGGTAGCTACCCTTTCCTGTCGTTTCTCCTTCTTTCCACATGACTCAACATCCACAGCCAGCATCAATTTCATCAAATATACTGATGACCTAACAGTTTCCATACCTGTATCCACTTCAACAGATTGTTTCCAACTAAATGATTTCCTACCTACTGTTAGACGACGGTTCTCTTTCAATCATTTTATGCTTAATTATTCAAAATGTTAGACGTGAACATAACCTACGTAAACTGCTTAGTTCTCATGATTCATGTTCTGTTGACAGTTGCACATTAAAGAATGCTACAAAGTGATTTATTTAGGTGTATGTTCTTCTTCTGACCTTTTCTGGTCTTCCCATATATCACTAATTTCCATAAGAATTTTCCTCATAACTTTCTATATTACGAAGCTAAGAGTATCTGTTAGAACTCAGCCTGTCATCTTGTGTTTCATCAACTCCTGCATCTTACCTGTTCTCCTCAATTGTTCCCCTTCATTTTTTCCCGGGTTGCTGAAAAAACACTATGTTGTATTGACTGGAAGTTTTTTTTAGACTGTCAGCAGATTTAGTGGTGTATCTCTAAACATTCTAGTTAAAACACTTGTGGACAAATATGTCGACTCATGTAAACATTTGGTGTGAGTTATTTTATCAGATGACCAGCATCCTCTTCACTTTTAGCTCTCTCTCTCTCTCTGAGTGTCAGGCATCTGGAAAGACGAGGAGCAAGTACATAAGACCTAATGCACGTACTACAAAGTATAAAAACTGTACACTACATTATTTAGCTAGTCTGCTGTGTGATGAAGAAAGTATTATGAATGAAGTGACTAATCAACGTGTGTTTTTGAAGACAAACTAATTGATAATGTGCATGTTACTATTTATGTATTTTATGAATCTCATTACTAACGTGATTGTCTACTTAAATTAGCTTAGTGTTTTCAAGAAAGTTGTAGACAGAGTGAATATTTTGATATTTTTTATATAATTTATACTTATTTCCTTAGCTATGTATACATGTACATTGTCTCTGTCCAACTGACTGTATGTGATATGCTATTAATTCTGTAGAGTATTCGTAAAATAGCTTTCAGAATAAAGCCATTATTATTATTGTTGTTATTATTAACATTATATATTTAAAGTAAAGGAAGCAAGGAATAGTCAGAAATAAACTTAGAGTAGTTCAAAATCAAAATGAATTATTCTGAAGGCATAAACTAGGAATGTGGGCTCACAATTGACTATTTTGGCGAAATATGAAATTAGGTTTAGTCGCCATTCTATGATTTATTATTTTAAGATAAAGTTAATGGGAATGTTTTACTGAAGACTTCAGTAAATAGTTACACTTTGGCAGATATTAGTTGGTTGGAAGCAAGCAATCTTCAGGAAGCCCTGGACCTAGGTTTTTTGCTTGTTGGCACTCATCAGCTTGACGACCGTATTGTAAATATGATAGGATTCAATCTGCACTTAGGACCAGACACGTAATCCAGTCCTACAGAAAGTCAGTCGTGGTCCGATTAACTCAGTGGTAAGGTCGCTGACTACAGCACTGTGTGACGTGGGTTCGAATCCTACGGGTGACATCAGTCCCGTCAAGGTGGCAGATATGCCAAGCTGACGAGTGCCAACAAGCACGAAATATAAGACCAGGGGTTCCAGTCGATTGACTCCAGCCAACTAACATCTACTAATGTGCATCGCGATGCTGAGCCTCCTCGCTTGGTAGCCACATTGCAGACATGATCGCTAAGATTAGGTCTGTACTCAGGACTAGACAACATGAAACTTGGCTGGACTGCAGCAACCAGTCAATACACAGTTACACTTTGTTATGAATTGACAAAAACAGGAATGTGTGGATCATTGAACTCCAGCCCAGTAGCTGAATGATCAGTGTGTCCGCTGTGAAACCTGAAGACCCTGAGTCGACCCATAATGCAAGGAGGTTGTGAGTGCATTATTTCCTAGTTTTCACCAAATTGGTTGAACATTCTTCACATATGTGCTGAGATGGGAATGTCTGGACAGCGAAGGAAATATTTTCTTTGATTGTAAGAATAAATAATCACTAGCAGTGTGATCTAATGTATGTTTCATCTTATTCAGGACTGCACTGAAAGTGGCTGCTAGCCAGTTTTGTCACTATCCATGAGACTCTAAACCGTCACTCATCCCTCGAAAGACACATCCATTTAAAACGTTTCAAATAGTACGAACTACTGACGGCCACTATTTGTCTTTCTCGTCAAAATGAAATTATTGTCTACACTGCGACATTCGTACACAATCAGTTCAGTGTAAACGA